ATTTAAGGGGTGTCGCCCGGACATTGTCGCCAATGTGTTAAACAACACCTCGCAGTATTCATCGGGCACTTCCAACTCCTGTGATCCATCGCAGGTTTCGCGAAAATCGCGCAAATCGCGAAAATCGCGAAAATCAGCGAAACCTGCGGCGGATCGCGGACTCTGACACCAGCCTTAAGGCTGTTGCCATGACGATCAATGAAACAAGTAAAAAATCGAAACCTTGATATCAATGTTCATTAAATTAACAAACAACGTAATACCGTAATATATGCGCTGGCACATTTATCGATAATCGTAGGAAAAATCCATTACAATTAATTCAATAAATTACGCTATTCGCCTTTGTACATATGAGCAGCGGACAAGTACGATCGCATGGCGCGATCTATTCAAATGAAGCTGTGAAATCAGACCAGAATAAAATGGAATTCAAAACTAAGGTGTGAAAATGCATAAATAGTGGCTGTTAAACATGACATGATTGCGGCATTTCCCGTGCTTTAGTGTGTTTGGAACGCATCTAACTGAAAGCTTCACGTGATACCGCACTAACCGGAACTACTACGGCAAAAAATGACCATCGGACCATCTTACGTGACTTGATAACATCGAATTTTGAACTTTACATAACAGCGAAACATATACTCTACACCTTAAAAAATACCCTAAATAGAAAACATCGCAGTAGAGCATTGAGCATGACGAGTAAATCATGAGCTTATGCTTGGAACGCCGTCCATTCGTAACCCTGGATCTGAATAACCTCACGCTTCGCTCAAAGAGCTTCAGCGAAAGTGTTATTGGATCCGTGCTATGCTATGGGGGAGAAGTGGTGTTTCAAAAATGAGATTGGGTAAGATTTCCTTCCCATTTTCTGTCACCGGATCATAGCGCACAGCCTAGGGGTATAAACTTCTTTGAAGAAATGGTAAACTACGAGTGGTTTCACGCGCTAGCGCCGCCCTTAGCCCATGTGGTTTGAACCGGACATTTTCATGCGCTCACAGCCAACACCTTTCATAAACACTGCGTTAAAGGTGGTCGGGATGTTGCATGCAGCTTCAAACAGGGGCGGTATTCAATCCTTCCCCCAGGGGGATATATCCCCCTCCTCTGATTCAATCCTCTGGGGGGACAAAAAAGGGTTGCGTCATAGGACCTAGCATACCTCTGTGTTTCTACCTGCCAGACAGTTAGAGCAGCGCTACTACCCTCCACTGATGAAGCACTCTTTTCCCTGAGGGGTCGCGCTGCTCTAACTGTCTGGCAGGTAGAAACACAGAGGTATGCTAGGTCCTATGACGCAACCCTTTTTTGTCCCCCCAGAGGATTGAATCAGAGTAGGGGGATATATCCCCCTGGGGGAAGGATTGAATACCGCCCCAGGAGAAGTGCAGGTAGGTTTTTCAACATTCTCACAGCTGAAACAGTCTAGCAATACAATGCAGTTTTTGTCCCAGGTTAGACCAAAAAATGAGAACTGAATAAAAAGGATTTTCTGGATTTTTTAAGGTTTCTTTTTTTGTCTTGCCACTTGTTGGGAAAAATGGTGATGTGGATTCGAGTCCCGCCAGGGGTGGGAAGTTTTGCCCATAGCTCTGGTGATGATCTCACCATTTTTTGTCTCGCAGGAAAGAATTAGCACTACTTTCACACTTTTGGTCTCTACAAACTGCATGCAGAGCACTCAAGGAATCTTTCGAGAAGTGAGACTTTCGGATATCAAACAACTGCTCTGGACTTCAACAGTTATGGGAGAAAATACAATAGTTATTGCTTGCGAATAGGGAATGGATGAGCTTCCGTATTAAATACCCATGCGTTCAGTGGCAAAACATTATCATCAGCGAATATTAAATACAAATACTTGAAAAGTTCGGCAAATAAAAACGACTGCTGTACATCATCATGTTGCACTGGAACGCTGTAAACGTCTCGAATTCCAGAATAACCACCTTCCACCTAAAAAGACTATCAGCGTAAGCAACGGGAAAGAAACGCAACAACAGCATGGCCGCCCCTCCAACACAACAAAAGCTCACCTTTGCATATTTTTCCAAAGCTAGCACTACATTCCAAGCCCATTCCCGATATTTGTCTTGTTTTGTGATGCGCCAGAGGTAGAACCATGTTTCAACCACCTGGGTTTGTATTTCAAGACTTGAACTCAAAAATCGTGTAAAAAATTGAAATTTGGTTATCGACAGCTAAGGAAGAATTTCAATAAAAAAGCAAAAACATAGAAATAAATTGAGCAAGAGTCCAAAAATTACCTCAGGTCTCAATATGTAGTATTTTTCATTATTGGCTACAGCTTTAGCCTCACTGTCTACAGTAAATCGGAAGGCTTCTGGACCAATTCCAATAGCTAAAACACCACATATGAATTTAGGTGATACAATTCGAGGACTAGTAGTTGTTTCTGAATAATTTACAAAAAAACGTACCACTACGGATGTAGGACTCATGACATGTATGGGCTATCTTTTCGGCGAGATCCAAGTAATGATTCTAAAACTTTCTCATTAGTTTGCATTCAAAAATTTTTTAGAGTCTAATCAGTTTAAAAGACACAACCATACCGCAACACTAGCGTTGGGCTCATTTGCTGACTGTAGCGCAAACATTCCTCCCGAAAAACAAGCCAAATGCTCCATCTTATGCATTACTCGACTCCCATGAAGATTTGCAAAATACCTGTAAACATGCCACTGGAAATATTACGGTAAAATAGGAAAAAAATGAAATATATTTACTTCGAAACCACGTATTATCATAAAGCAATAATAATAAAGATAATAGTAATAATCACTATGACATAGCGTAATAATCAAAAAATCACCATAGTCCGCTCTTTTCGCTCTTAAACAGCATCTTTTTCTCCATGGCAAAAACAGCAGCGTCATACTCCTTTTTGGTGCGATCATCTATCTTGCCCGTAATCAGCCAATGTTTTAATAGGTATTCATAGAAGCTGTCACCCAAAGCACCAATAGAATGGTCCACTGTAATATCATGGAAAAGTATTCTACATCAATCTTCATCAAGTACGAATTGTGTAGCCATCGAAGAACCTTACATGATCCCCATTTGCCAGTTTTTGGGTTCAGGTACAACGGATAGAGTCCATTAGGTTTGTCCATATTCGTCAAGAAGTCACGAATTCGCTCGATCTGTTATTAGTTCGTTTCGGAAAGGAACATTCTTCATTTTTTGAATTTCAATTTCCAATACCGCCTTAGTACCCATGCGCTTACCTTTTCCGAGTAAATCTTATTTCCTGTAACGTGCGAGAGGTAATCAAACTCCAGTTGTAGTGAACCGAATTCGGACAAAATCGAGCTTTGACCACTGGCCCAACCATAGTTTTTAGCCGAACCTTAAACAAACTTTCAAAATTCGGAACAATAAATTCGAAAAAAAATCCCTGTTAACCAAAAATGGTATAAGTGAAATTCCAGTGATTAATTACCACTTCAAATTGTTAAAGTACGAACCTGTAACCACGTTTGACTACAGCATAAGGGATCCCCGTAGGAGTATCGAATGCAGGCAGGAGAAGCTTAGCTATTTCTTCCGCTTTTTCTACATACATCTGTAAATATAGTACGCAATCTTTTCTCAACTGTTTAGGACTGTAGCGAAATCTCTGAACCCTAAAACTCACCTTATCTTTTGTGAGGGCATAGATGGATAACAAACTCATGAAACGAATGCTTCGGTTTTCAAAAAACGGGTAGTCGACCTTTCTACAGAATAAGACCATAAATTCGCTGTGCTTGAAAAAAAGCTTTTCATACGCAAATATCAACCACTGTAAGCGCACCGCCGTTCGTTTGAAATCCAAGCTGTGCTTAACCCCAGCTTCTAGCTTCTTCATACTCTTCCTTCAAACCCATAATCCACAAGTGTATCGATTGCATCCACTATCGTTGCTCCCATGTCTCCCATTCCAAACACAGAGGCGGAATGTCCTTAAAAATATCGATTACGGGGTACGATTCATGTAGTACAACAACAATTCAGTGTCATCAAAACATGTCATTTTCAACAATGAGCAATTTGGCAGCATTCGCGTAAGCGTCCAAAACAGGAGAGCTCTGCCGAGGAATCAATGGAAAAATTATGTTCCACGTAGATATGGAGCACAAGATGATAAATGAAGACCGTAGAAAAAACAAGGTCATTTTTAAAAACGAAGTTTCATATTAAATAACATCACTGAGAAAACACGAAGCAATATATTACAAAGCTAAAAGTACAGAAAGAAACGAAGAGTAGCATTAATCAAACAACAAACTAAAGCGAAAGCTTCCCACTTACCCGTTTTGGAAACTGGCCGTAATTCGTTCGCACCCCATGCATACTTTCTATAGCTGTCCCAAGCGAATTTGGTCATCTAAAGTAAACATTGATCCTTCTTACTTTCACTAGAGGACTAGAAAGAACGCTAGTAACAAAGTGGTCCACCTGCTTTACGGTTATCCGTCGCGCATCGCTGTCGTCACCTGCCGCAATTTCCGGCTTGGGGATTGGTGGTGCAACGATTCCGGCTTCTTCCGCTTTTCTCTGTAGCTCTGCAGCTTGTTTTTCTTGCATGAGCCTCCTAGAAAAGGAATTCTTTTTATACAAAAAGAAAACGCCCGTAGAAGTGCCTCACCGTGCTTCGAGATCTCTGACGTGAGGCACGATATGCTCTCTACCAAGAAACTCATCGGTGCCGCTAGATGGGAGCAGATACAGTGAAAGAAACGAGACCGCTGACAGAAATATAATACCTACGGTTATCACGTATCTTTCACCCATCTTCAGCCCCATTGGCCGTGAGTACAGGCAAAAAGCACTGCCTGAAAACAGTTCGATTGGATAAAAAACGTTGTGAGTTCATTCAAGAGCGAATATCGATTATGCATACGTACAATTCTACAGTCAGAAGAATGAAAAATGTGTGATTAAATCCCTTTTTCGAATATTTTGAACGCTTTCCGAGGGAAAAACGTGTTCATTCGCAACATTTTAATAGGGACATAGATTGATCTTGACAAATACCTCAATTGCGAAAAGAGCAAACAAAAGCGTACAATGATTTAAATGTGTATTGATCGAGAAAATAACCGGTGAAGAAGACGGAAAAAGGATACGTACAGCGTTTTTGACCATTTTTACAAGGACAGAACGATATTTTGGCAGCCTTAATGAACGTACTAGACCTTAACATAGTTTGAAAATAAATGTGTTACAAGTATGTCGAAGAAAACCAGTAACAACACGCTTTCATTGCTCGAAACCGTACAAAATACCCCGACCGTACTAGAAGGTCCTAGCAGTACCTGGACTTACAGAAGTGCAGAAATTAAAAAACGGCGCTACAGCTTGATAGACTCTACCAATAATACAAAAGGTTTTGTTATGCACAAAAAAATCGGAGATACTGGCGTATTATAACAGCCCCTCAAATACACGGGTATCTTTTTTCAATGAGGCACTCCAAAACCCTGCACAAATCGGTCTGGGAAGACTGAAGCATGAACTCAACGAGGTGTTTCATAATTTAGCTCGTAATCGAGATTGCTCGCAATATTTTACTCCGCTGTCCCTTCGGCGTTGTCGCGTTCAACGAGAAGGAGGAGGAGATAGTAGTGTGGCAAGTGCACCACTTCCCATATACACGGATTGAGGGTCAAACCCCGGATCAGATGCCCAAGCCGACCAAATCCGAGGTCAGCAACTGGTACCGACTTGCCCGTGAGAATAAAAAGGCTGGTTTGTACGTCGACTGGCCACCGCAAACCATTGTATAGGCCACTTATCATTCAAATGCCACTGATTTGAATAAAAGCAAAACGCATGGCGTATCCCAAAAGGGAGTGATCGACGCCGAAAGCTTGTCCTTCATCCTTATCCTAAGACTCTCCACATTATAGTGCACATTAAGAATAGTAGATTTAATTGGTTACCGAATAGCTATTCAGCGACTACTACAATGTAAAAAAAATAGATCATCGAAAGCAAAGTTCAAAATGGATCGAAACAGCTTTCGTTTCCGAAACTGGGGAGAGCGAATGAAGCCGGTTCAGTTTGCGTGGAAGTGGAGCGATGAAGATGTAATCGTTTTACAACACTGCTGGAAACCATTTGAACTCCACGGAACGCATGCTGAATCGTGGCCGTGGCAAAAATCTACCCAACGCAATAAGACTGAGGGTCAATAAAAAAGGTACCATAAATCTTCTAGCAGGGAAAGGGTATCAAGTTGTCACTTCATGTGAAAGTGTGCCATCTATCCTAGTACTATCAAATTATCACTTTATATGAACAGCGCAGTGAAAGAGAAAGCAATGAAAGAAGGAAGAATGCCATGAATGCCCCAAGATTCTTGCTCTATCTGCTCTGAAAATGAGCCTGTTCTATGCATAAAATATTAGAGAAGCCATTGATAGTAGCAAAAACGTCAGATGAAAGCGAGACCCCTTCTCCAGCTGAGCTACCATTACGTGCTTCCTCTTCGTCACGATCTATAGCTGCCAACGAGCGACATCCAAAATAATAGAAATATCATTTTGAAAGCATTCTAACTCAACCCATTGAACTAATGCGCACTGAGGCTTCCTTGGAGTACAGAGTAGAAACCGGCAGGGATGAACAAAAATTATTTTTGTTTACCCCTGCCACGTTCTAACGCTTCAGTTCACATATTAAGGTTAACGAAACGTCGTGCTTCGAAGGATAGCCAGCCACAAGCCGATGAAAGTTCAAGAAACAGTGATGTTTTCAGAAAAATAGAGGAAAGCTTTATGGGAGAACATGTAGATATTAATAGTACGTGACTAAGGAGATAAAGATTTCATTACAGTAAAAGACTGTGAGAGAGCAACGAGAAAAGGGAAAGAAAACGATCGAAATTGAAGGCAAGAAGGTGACGGAAATGGGTATGGCGAATGCAATCTCATAGGAAAGCCGCAAGAAAAGTTCGAACTGAAATGCGGAGATAATCTCGCAGCCAATCAGTTCACTGCTAAATCGAATTTAAAAATCTAGTTTTCCAGTCCGCAGTGAAAGGCGAATCTGTTTGTGTTCATAAGAAAAAGAAAATCTCACCCGCTCACATACATTCTGAAGATAAACTGCCAAATTCATTCTCAGAACAAGTCTGATGTGCTTTAAATCCTTCATTCGAATTATGCGCAAAGCATCTGACTGTGAAAATGGATCCTATTTCAACCGAGCTAAAGGTAAAAAAAAAAAAAAAAAATAAAAAAGAAACAAAATAAAATGGTAGGCTGCGGTGTAGGGGCGACGCGAAGAGGAGGAGGGGCCAACGCGTGATCCCAAGGACATTTCAAACCACGGCAACATTTCCATTTCATACCGATAATCCCTGTCCTGCACAAGCAAAATGGTTCGCCAGCCCAAGAGCTTACTTCTCTGCGAAAAATTAGATTGCTGTTGCAGGAAACCATTTCAACCAGTGTGCACGATGCTTCCCAATTCCCCTTCTGCGCCTTCAACCTTATTACAAGTGAACGTAGTCGAAATGATTTGAAAGATTTGATGGAAGTGGAAGTTAATCCAAGAAACAAACTTGCAAAAAGGCCCACCGGCACCCATATTTGATTTCTTGTGATAAAGCCTGTATGATGCGTGATTTCCTTCGAGTTTATCAGAACAACTGTAACTATAGAAAAAGAAGTATGTTATAACCACACCCAAAAGTTAAACTAAAAATAGGCGTGGGATGAGAAACTCCTTCAATAGATTGCTTTTCTGTGGTAACCTAATACACCTTAGGTCCAATTGCGAAGAAAAAGGGTGCTAACTTAGTTGGGGGGGGGGGCACGCGGCGGCGCGGCAGTCTGCTCACCTGGGCTCTCTCGAGCGAGACAGTGTAAACTCGAACATTCCAGCTTTTCACGCATGTCAAGTGACTGCCCCCACCCCCCACCCCCTAGACTGGCTACACTCCCCCTGGCCCACGGATTTCCGAACATGCCAGGCGAGCAGACTGCCGCGCCGCCGCGTGGCCCCCCAACTAAGTTAGCACCGAAATAAGTGCAACAATCATTGATGCGAGAGGAACCCTTCACCCCCTTCTACAAAGAGCCGAAGCCTTTATTGTTGTCACATTGTTAATGGTGTCGCCCTCAATCAATCAACAGCATTTATTTCGCTTTCGTTCAAAAAGATAAGCGAAGATTGGAACTGATAAGGTCACATGTAAGGCATAGGACTTACACGAATTTCTGTATGTACCTAACAACGGTTGTCTTGCGCAGATCAGAATAAACGACAGGCCAATCGCATTTAACATCTAGAACACGATTGCCTTCACTGTACCGCGAATGCATCGATAAAAACTGCATTAAGGTTGTTATACACATAAAATGAGACCATTTAGAACCAATGGTATGCTTTAATTATGAACAAATTTCGTTCTGGAATGGAACGACCGCGAATTGAAATGATTCAGTAGTAATAGAGTCAATAAACAAACAAATGTAATGTCACAGAAATCGTGGACAGCGGACAGCAAAAGGGCTCGCCGTTGTCAACACATTCCGCATGGGACCGCATCGGTTCACGTGCTCAGCTGCCAATTTCGTGACCCAGCGTGAAACAACAAACACCCACTCATTTTATTATGAGTTTTGTTCATCGACCTCTTATTCCTTCAAGTTTGCTCCTTATTGGTCGAAGTGGTGTTATTTAGATGCCACATAGTCTTACATCCGATACCAATAAGTACCCCGGTCTAGCCTAAATGTAGTTTGCCAGTATTGGTGATAAGCACTATGGCGTGTTTTTTTTTGCGTAGAACTACCTATATTCTAGTTATCCTTTCTGTTTGATGTATAAGTTTAATGACGTGGCGGAGGGGGGAGGGCAGCCCGTAACATTGTGCCAGGGTTACGGAAACGCTCATATTAGAACTAAGCCTTATAGGAGAAGTGGGACTCCGAATGATTAAGCAATTTCGGTTCTCCGCAATCGTGTCTTCAGCTCCATGTCTTCTTACAGACTGCCTCGGTCTATTATAGTTTAGGGGGGAGCCCGGCATGCCGTTTAGGCGATCAGACTTTTAGCGGAATCGCGCTGATTTTCGCAAAAGTCTGACAGCGGCCTTAGAGCGCTCAACAAGTTTAAAACCACGGGTAGCATATTCCCCTAGTATAAATGTTTAGGACTACGCCTCAGCAGGGAGGGAAAACCCACAGTTTGTGAGCAATTTTCGCTTTCTCTGGGATGGATCTGCGTCCCCCTTCGTAGGCTTAGTCCTAGGCTGATCACAAGGTAAATATTACTTTTCATTGACGTTGATGTTACAAAGCACAGGAAAGAACAGCATACATCAAACAAATGTAGTGTAAAAACAGAAGAAACAACGGTAGGAAAGGTGGAGCTGGCGATAGCACTTTTCGCCTAACTTTAAACGGGTACTCCTTAGAGCCAAACGGGGCCACTAGTGAGATGGCTGCTGACCGCAATTCCCCCCCCCCCCTTAGCTGGAATAGACCGACTGCTCCTCTTTTTTCGAGGCACATTGCGCCTTCGACGGAGGTCGGGAATGTGTAAGTCTGACCTTACGGTGGTTTTAGTGGGATTTGCTGATTATACGATGCGCCGTGGAAAGTGGAACGAACCTATTTTATCAGTAAAAGGTTCCTTTGGAATGCCCTTATATTTTGGTACATAATGGGATAGCTGTCGTGCCGATTGCATCTTATATTACGACTGACGCCTGCAGAAGCACATGTGATTCACTCGCAGGGAGGACACATTTTTTGTCTACTTTCCGTCTAAGGGCCCGTACGAAACTGAAA